CAATTTCCCTATATTTCTCACCTTAATAACTATTGTTCTTCAGGTGTCACTTCTTCACTAGCCCTTTTTGTGAAATATGGTGTCCTAGCATTGAGCTGCAGACCTACCTTGAATAGTACTCCTTCAGCACAAGAGAGCTCATTTGAGGGTGGTTTCACTGTTCTACTGTATAAAAGGAAGTTCATCATCCCACAATAGGCCAATTTCCCTATATTTCTCACCTTAATAACTATTGTTCTTCAGGTGTCACTTCTTCACTAGCCCTTTTTGTGAAATATGGTGTCCTAGCATTGAGCTGCAGACCTACCTTGAATAGTACTCCTTCAGCACAAGAGAGCTCATTTGAGGGTGGTTTCACTGTTCTACTGTATAAAAGGAAGTTCATCATCCCACAATAGGCTCAAATTCTTCCCAAGGGGAGAAATGAGGTCTGGGAAAGAACACGGGGAGGGAAATACATAGAGATGGGTGGAAATCTGAGACCTTATGCATGAAGCTGGTATGGGAAATTGTGGACTTTCTCCTTGTGGACCAGAGTATAAACTGGAATGTTCAAAGCACTAATCTCAACCTCCTAGGAGATGTAATTACCATTAGGAAGGCTATTTTAATCAGTAAATGTGTAAGAGGGACTTGCACAAGTGGCTTATAATAAGGGCCTGTCAGATTTAGGTTCCATAAAGACAGAGGCTCCCTAGTCAGGGGAACTTATTTACCACGCCTTAAAAAATCTGGAAACCTTAGGATGGAAGATAGGATTCTCCTTAATGTAACTGATGAGCAGATATGGACCTTTAGGAGGTTAAACCTAAGCCAATTTTAAATTTATAAAGTGCTCTAGGACTGCATGGACCCCAGCTCAGGATGGAGTCAGTTATTTACCAGTGTCCCACATAGTAAACAGGTTCCAGTTTTGTTTAAAGTAGGGTGGAGACCTTAATAGTTCACACAATATTCTTATGAGCCTTCTTATTAGCCATCAGGTTATCCTTTAGGATGCAAGTGGTATGTTTTCTGTGCTAGAGTGCAAAATCCTTCCTTACTGTTGAGATATGAGGTTTGGAGTGAGAGGCAGCAGATACAGTGGTTGTCTAACCAGCTGCAGAAGATGTGGCTTCCAGTGATAAGGTGGTCACATTGGAGCTATTAATAGGATGTTGGCTCTGTCCAACCTGATCTGCTTTAGAATACTTGGTATCAGGAATGGGAGAGAAGATATAGGAACACAGCGAAGAGAATGTTTATCTTTGTGTGTATTTGGCATTTGGTGTTTCGTTTGAAACAGTGGTCTATTCCAGTTGTCTCCATCTATGAAGTACTTGGAATAGCCTCCACGAGTTTCAAGCAGCGCTTGTATAGATTCAGAAACCTTTTCCTATCTAAGACTATTCATGTTCTTCTCAGAAAGGTGAAGGGCTACAGATTTTCTCCGGAGGGGACTCTCATGGCTCCTCTGAAGGAAACTCATCCCTTTTCTCAGAGTGTTTTTGGAGTGTTGCAGGAGGCTTAAATTGGCACCAGATGAGAACTAGATGCCTATGAGGGTATCAGTATTGAGGGAGGGCACCATGCTGGAATAGATACCCTCTATCTTCAGTACCAGTATCGGAGCTTGTATCTCACCCTCATGCAGAGCTTTCACAGAGTCCTGTGCATAGGGCCACATGGACTGCTGAAGACAACCCTTTAAAAGATCCTTCCACAGTCTCTGGATCTGATGTGAGGGAATCTGATGGAGGTCTCAAGATACAAGTAGGGCGCTTACCAGACTAATCTCTGAAGGTGTCAAAGGTATCTCAATGTGATTCTAGACTGACAATTAGAAATATTGGTATAGGCTATCAAGCAGTAGAAAAACATGCAGAAGGATTGTCAGTAGCCTCAATATTAGATCCCCTTTCAGGCCTTGAAGGGGTTACTGCAGTCTGAACCCAAGGAGTCAAGGTAGTGAGTACTGAGACATTCAATTCCAGAGGAATTTGGAGAAAAACTGCCTGCCTCATGAGTGGTCAAGCCTCTTGTGGGAGGTTTCATTGGGCCATACCAAGGAGAACTTTGAATATCACCACACAGTCTTTGAATTGGATTCTAGTCAATGGGAAGACACTGCAGAGAGATACGCTAGATTGACCTGTATTAAACAGATGGACTGCTGTGTTTTATACCATTGGTGTTTTTTCAGAATATGTGGCTATTAAACAAATTAAATTACTGTCAATCTTAATGTAAATCTGCACTCTAAGTGATGATTTGTACATGTCTAATTCATAGGATTATGGCCTCACTCAATCTACTGAGATATTTAGTCATTAAGGATAATGAACACATCAATCAAGTAAGTAATGATGAAAAGCTATGTTTTCAGTTTAAAAATAGTATCTGGGCAAGTTCATGACCAATTTAGATAGTGCTGCAAACAAACAAACCCTTTCTTCAGTAATCCAGTGTGAAAATGTTTTTGTGAATGGTGTTTAGAGAATTTTGACATTTTTATTGGAGAAAATTAAAAGCTCTCTTACTATTTTTTCATCAAGTTTGAGTGTGTTCTACCTCCACCAGAAATCCAGGTCAGTGCTTATAATTCCAGATGTTTTCATAATAAAATAAAGTCTATAGCTGGTATTCCAAAAAGAGTAAATATATTTTTACTTGTATACAGCTACCTAGTAAGGCCTAAATTCTCCCAAGCATTGTACAGCTGTTTAGATGGGGTCTCTACAAACCTCTGAAGTTTTAGTATTGCTTCATTACTCAAGGAAATCTTTTATCATTTGGCTCACTTAAAGCCAAATGATAAAGAGATAGGATACAAGAAGAGATTTTATTTTAGTGTTACAGTGCATAGTTAAGCATTTTGATTATTGCATTGAATAGCTTTTGTTTTTAAACACGTAAAAATCCATTGTATCCAACCTCTTCTGTAATTCCATTTTTGGTAAGTGTCAGTAACTCCTCTGGGTATTCAAGCCAGATCAGTGCTTATAAGAAAGATCTGCCTTACTGAAGTAACAAAGATTAATTTACCTGTCCTATATTAGGAAAAATGCAGAATATTTTAAACAATAGGCATACATATACATAAAAAATAAAGACACTCACAATGGAGGAGTTATATAGTCTCCTCAGATTTCTGAATCTGTGAAGTAAAACAATATGAAATAGCTTTCTGGTACTTTCTCTGTTCTCCAAGACCCTGCAGCAGTGTTAATGTATTTTGCATAATATATCATCCTGTGAAATCCCAACTCCCCTTGTCAAGATGAAGATTTGCAAACAAATCTTTTGGTAAAAAGGGATTGGGAGGGAAATAGTACTAGATTATAGTACTGTAATTGCTTGTGGCAAATATGTTTTATTGAGCTACTTTCTTAGTATACATTTTGTTCTCTGAGGGAAAAACAGCGCATTATTTCCTCTTGAGGAGACCATCTTTAACATTGTACGCCATTCTGATTTTGTGGGTAGCTCTGCTGCAGGCAGGGTTTCCACATCAGTTTTACTGACAGACAGCTATAGTCTGGGTTTAATCTATACCTCTGTTCTCATATTGACCTCTCTTTTTTGCATAGCCTGTACATTTTTCTGGCTGGCTACTTCATTACTTTACCAGATATGGCCTAGAATGTTTCATGCATGAAGATCATTTATAAAACTAACTCACTGCAATTTTGGATAAAACACTATATCTTATGTATATATGAGCAAGGCATCCATACACGTCTCCCATTTTTCATATGCTTTGATGTTTGAGTGCAAATAATCTGGAAATTGTTACTACAGACAAGTGAAACTCTCTAGCCTATTGCACTGTGTTATCTAAAATGGAGAAAAACAGCATAAATTGTCATATTTTATAGCCATTTCATCACTAACTCGGGGTGTTTGGAATTATCAACTTTGACATGTTCTCTTTAAGCTCTACATGTTCCTAGCCAATAGCCTGAAAGACAAACAATGCACCTCTATATGCTGGATTCTGACACTTGACAATTTTATATAAGTAACAGACGTTTTTATTCAACTTAAAGTAAGATTTTAGTGTCAGAAATGTTATAAAGTGTTTAGCTTTATCAGCAGGCCTTTGGCTTATTTTTCCAATCTCATCTGAAGCTGTCACCAATATTTGTTATTGGCTATGCTATTTCTGATCAACTTTGGACCATGATTATTCAACTGCTATAGCAGCTTTTCAGTATAATATTTCTGACTGCTTGATCTGCTTTTGTATGCAATCACTCCCATCCAGCTACATCTAGATGGACAAATGTTCTTAGATAGCCCAGGTAGCAATTTATATTAACATTTCACAACTGGCTTAACATCAGGTTGCATTTCTGAGCAGCTGAACTATGATTTTGTTAAATGCCATAGCTCGCACCATTAAGATACAGTATTGAAAAGACATTGCAATTTTACATGTTTAATTTTCTTACTGAAATAGGCCACTTATCCCCATAATAAAAGGCAGATCCTACTAACCCTTCCCTCCCCCCACAAGTCATTAGGCACCAACATTTCCAAAATTAATCTAAAACAAGAAGCTTTTATCAACCACGTCTCAGGGTAAAGTTTGTATTTTCAAACTAGTTTTCCTTGTTTCCTTCATTTCTTAATGCCCCTATAGTTGGGGAAAGGTTTATTGCTTACTTTGCAGATTCTAAATTAGTTCCATACAGGCAGTCCCCGGGTTACGTACAAGATAGGGACTGTAGGTTTGTTCTTAAGTTGAATCTGAAACTGACCAGCAGTGGCTGAATCAGGGTGCCAGGCGTCCGGAGCAAAGCCGCGGAGAACGCCAGCAACGGACAGCCCAGACGCGCCGCAGCTGTCCTGCTGCCCGCGTCCTCCACAGCTTTGCTCCCCGTCTCCCTGGTCTGCTGGTCTCCAGCAGACCAGGGAGACACGGAGCAAACCCCGTTTGTAACTGCGGATCCGACATAAGTTGGATCCGCGTAACTCGGGGACTGCCTGTATATGATTAAAGGGACATGACTGTAATGCTGCTCGTAGTGATTCAAGAATCTGAATGCCAACCTCAGGGCAGACTATTTGGAACCAAGGCACAAATCCCAAATTAGTTTTTAAATTTATGCTTAGTTTTTAGCTATCAGTTAACTAGTGTAAGCCTCTAAGGCATTGTAACAGCTTTAATATGGAATCACAGACACTGTCCCTCACCATCCTGGTGAGGCTGTTTTGTGTTAGATGGTCCCTTACAGCAAGAATCACAGCACTATTCAGATGACTGCTAGTCCCAAAGGAACAGTCATTTGCTCCAGATCAATTGCTACTTAATCTCACATCAAAGACAATGCTTGTAGCCAATCCACATGAAGATTTATAAAGTAGAAAAGACCACAGAGTTATTTACAAGGTTAAAGCAGGTAAACATGTACAAAGATGAGTTACCACCCTAAAGATAATACAAGCTTCTCTAATCAGCAAGATGTGTGTGCTTTTTAGGGCTAACCCAGGCTAAGCAGCTGGGGATCTTCGGCATCCGAACAGAATAGAAATAATCAGTTCCGTCTTGTTAGGAATTTTTATCCCCCTCTTTCCATATGCTTTGAGTAGGGATGTAAAATCCCTTTTAATTGGTTTACCGGTTAAAGGTGATGTTTAACCATTTAACTGACTAAAGAGGGGCACGTGCCGGGTAGGGCTGATCCAGCCCTGGTGTGACCCTCTTGCTTGCCAAGGCCAGGCTGAAGTGCCCCCCACTTGCTGCAGGCAGGGGGTGCTCCAGCCCAGCCAGAGCGGTCCTTGCCTGTGGCCCCCCATTGCAAGTAAGGGCTACTCCAGCTTGAGTCTGTCTGCAGTAGGCCTGAGCACATTGCAGGCAGATGCTGCTTTGGTCATCTGGAGCAGCCCTTTTCTGACACACACCGAGGCCCACCATGGACGGGGGCTGCTCCAGATGATCGAAGCAACTTCTGTCTGCAGCGGGGTACCCCCACCATGGTCAGAGCAGTCCTCTGTCATGGCAGGCAGGGAGTTGCTCCAGCCCCCACCGATTAACAGTTAACTGGAACTCGTATGCATCACCCATTAAGAGTGATGCTTATTGGTTAACTTTTCACATCCCCAGCTCTGAGATGCAACCTCAGCTGATAGGAGGAATCCACTTGCATAATCCATCTTCACAGATGGGCAAGGGTGAGAACAGAAAAACGATCATCTTTTATCCACTTTAACATGTCACAATAGTCCATCTGGTGTCTCTGGACTTTGCTTATTAGGGAAGGATGTAATGCCTTCTGTTGATTATAAGCCCTTTACGCTAATTAACATCTTTCTCCTATCTTGTGATTTGCACAGTCTGAGGCTCATAATACAACCACTCAAACATTACCTTACAACATGGGATACAGAGGTTATACGTGAAATCACAAGCATTCAATAAAGTCTAAACACCCACAAGTGAGCTAGATTGATACCAGTTATGTATATGTCAGTGTTGAGGCATGGGTGGGCATCTTCTCTGATAGCTTCATAAATAATCTTAAGAAATTCAATTTTTTCATTCTTCATACATTCTTCTCCAAAATCTACATACCGATAAGAGGGAAGGTCCTTTCATGGATTGATAACTACTTAAAAGACAGAAACAAAGGGTAGGAATAAATGGTAAATTTTCCGAATAGAGAGAGGTAACTAGTGATGTCCCCAAGGGTCTGTCCTAGGACCAGTGATATTCAATTTACTTATAAATGATCTGGAGAAAGGGGTAAACAGTGAGGTGGCAAAATTTGCAGATGATACTAAACTGCTCAAGATAGTTAAGACCACAGCAGACTGCGAAGAGCTTCAAAAAGATCTAACCAAACTAAGTGATTGGGCAACAAAATGGCAAACGAAATTTAGTGTTGTTAAATGTAAAGTAATGCACATTTGGAAAAAATAATCTCAAATATACATACAATGTGATGGGAACTAATTTAGCAACAACTACTTGAGAGAGATTTTGGAGTCATTGTAGAAAAAAGCGGCGGACATTTTTATTTAAATGCCGCGGGGGATATTTAAATCCCCCGCGGATTTCCCTACGACGACTCGTGAAATTTACATGCCCCTTCCGGAAAAGGGGCCAGTGTAGACGTAGCCACCGAGAATATCTTAATGCCTCTATATAAAAGTATAGTACTCCCACATCTTAAATGCTGCATACAGATGTGGTCACCTCAACTGAAAAGATATATTGGCATTGGAAAAGGTTCAGAAAAGGGCAGCAAAAATTATTAGGGGCTTGGAACAGGTCCCATATGAAGAGAGATTAAGACGACTTGGACTTTTCAAGTTTAAAAAAAGACTAACGGGGGATATGATAGAGATCTAGAAAATCATGACTGGTGTGGAAAAAGCGAATAAGGAAAAGTTATTTACTTGTACCCAATTCCCATAACATAAGAATTAGGGGTCACCAAATTAAATTAATAGGCAGCAGGTTTAAAACAAAAGAAGGTTTTTCTTTACGCGGTGCACAGTGCAATCAACCTTTGGAACTTCTTACTAGAGGAGGTTGTGAAGACCAGGACTTTAACAGGGTTCAAGAAAGAACTAGATACATTCATGGAGGTTAGGTCCATCAATGGCTACTAGCCAGGATGGGTAGGAATGGTGCCTTTAGCCTCTGTTTGTCTGGCAGTGGGTAACAGGAGAGGGATCACTTGATTCCCTGTTCTGTTCACTCCCTCTGGGGCATCTAGCATTGGCTGTTGTTGGAAGACAGGATACTGGACTAGATGGATCTTTGGTCTGATCCAGTATGGCTGTTCTTATGTTATGTTCAATTCACCAAGTATATACTATACACAAGCAAAAAATTGTAAAAAAAGTTAGCATGTAAATATTTATCACTTCAGTAGATTTGGGAACAGTGTTCCCTCTATTTTTTTCCATCCCTGAGCAGAACGAGTTCTTGTGTACTACTGTGGAGATCTCACACTCGGGTGTGCCAACCCTTTATCCCAGCTCTGAGCCCCCATCCCACACTCAGAACCTTTTGGCCCCACTCCCACCACATGATTTTTTTTTATCATCATCTACAGCAATAGAAGTCTAGGCCTTCTTCATCACCCACAAAAATATCAAGTCACTTCCAACTTAGCTTGCAGGAGGGAATGAAAGAATATGCGTCATCCACCATGTACTATAATCCTCAACCTACATGCCAAAAGCTCAACCTTCTTCTTTTCCAGCGGTTTATGCATTTAGTTTTCTCTTGCTAATTTTGATAAACATTAATGCAGATATAGCAAAAATAAAACAAGAAATACTGTGCTGATTGTATTTTTTTCCAGTAAAAGACTATTTTAGTTTACCTGAAGCTTGATATGGACTTAAGTACCTATTTATTTAGGGTTGGCTACATTTTCTTTCATAACAGAGGCTACATCTATACTGCACTCTTCTCGTGCAAAAGCCTCTTGCGCAAAAACGGCCCCTAATTATGCAAATGAAGCACAGCAATATGCTAATCCATGATTCTTTTGGATAGGCTTTTGTGCAAGAAGAGTGTAATATAGACATAGCCAGAATGTAGCATATGATTCCAGTAAAAGATTATTTTAGTTTACCTAAAGCTTGCTACAGACTTCAGTACCGGTTTATTTAGGGTTGGCTACATATGTATAGCATATGATGCATTTCTGTCTTAGTAGTGCACTGCTAATGGCACCATTTTGAGAATAATTTCAAGACTGGTTTATGAGAATGTAAATGCTGCTAGAAGAAAGCAAAGGAAGTCATGGGGACTCAATAGCTTAAATATGCAGGTCAGCACAAAAGGGAAGAGTGTAAATCCTCTTCCTTCCTGGACCAGAAATGGTGGTGTAAAAATAGTCAGAAACTGTTCTAGGGTTTAGCATTGCACTTTTTCAATAAAAATTGATTTGACATTTTTTTCTTTCCCAATTTGAACAGACTGGTGTATGGACTGAACTTAACAAGATCAAGCAAAATTTCTTAAAGCCTTTGCACACAGGACTTAATATGTCAAGAGCACATTATGAAGCAGAAATAAAGAGTAAAAAGGAAAATAGACAAGGTTGGTTATATCCATTACTATCATTTGTGTCCTTCAGATATGGAAATTGTGTGAGAAAAGTGAAAGTTCACGAGCACTAAGTAGGTTGTATTTGAGATAAAATATTTGAAATACTCTAGGTTTGAAATGACAACTTAACCTGTAGATACTATATTTATCATTAAGATCTACTTCCATAGTACTGTAGTTAAAGGGCTCAGAAGCCAAATTTGTGGGCTTTGTTTTCATTACTATGCTTTCTTCCAATTTTTCATCCAATTAAAAGTAGCCTTTATTCAGGGTCTGTTTACTTCCAAGTGCACATATGTACGCCTCACAGAAGCCAATAGAAAAATACATGTGATTCAGAGATTGTTTCAACTTGAATGATGTCATGTAGACATTCAAAACTTGTTCTGCATTGCTATTTGTCTTAGTGTTCCCTCTTTCTTTGAGCAGTAAAGGAGCTATGAGAACTACTGGGTACAATCTTAAGTCCTGAAATATTACATTTTCGATTTTTGCTTTGACACACATGGTGAGATTCTGTTAGAGAAGCAGGAGTGGGAAACCAAGGTGGTTTTAAGCTGCCTTTGTGCACTTCTGAGCTTGCAATGCTCCATGGCTTCTGATGCAGTGTAGACAGCCCTGGGTGCCTATGGCTTGCAGTGCTGCCCAGAATCTCACAAGTGCTATGGTTTCACCTTGTATGCCCTCTAAAGGCAGCTTGTCTTCCTTATTCAGCTAAAAGAGGTTTCCTTGGTGTAGCACTATGTGGCATTTGAGAGCACCCTTTTACCTCTGACCCTTTCACTGGGTATGAAAAGGCCAAAGTGGGAATGAATATTTTTCCCATAATATCAGTAGGATTGTTGCAAGGTTGTATGCCTGCTCCCTCCCCCGTCAGGGGAGCTGTCAAGTCCCTGAAGCTTTTGAAATCATGCCCCCAACCCTGCACGTCCAGTAATTAAGGTGCCAACCTGGCTGTCTTGCTGGGGCAGTGTGGCCTAACGGCAAGAGTCAACAGAAGCAGATGCAGGCTCCATGGGTTGGGAATCAAGAAGGGGATAGGGGAACCTGGGACCTCCAGACCAGGGCCCTGACAGTAGTAGTGCAGTCCACAACTAACTTGGCAGGGAATCCTTCTGCAACACACCAAATTCCTTGGGATTTAACCTCCCACCCTGGGCTACTTCCTACCCATCTCTACCAGACTCCTTCCAGGGTCCTTCCTCCAGATCCTCAGCAGTATCTCTGTCTTGCTGGCTGGTCTCCAAGTCCAGTTCCACTGGTGGTTCACCTCCAGGAGCCCTGGCAGTACCTTTTTCCTCCTCAGCAACCAGCCCAGACTGAGCCTCTCTCCAGGCCTTTATACCTAGGCTGCAGTCTGAGCATGCCCAGCAGGGTTGCAGGGGCGGGACTTCTTCAGCCAGGTGAGCCTGGTTAAGCCTTGCTTCCCCAGTGTAGGGCTGGTACACTTTGTCACAGAGATAGTAAAACTAAACCATTACCAGGATTCTGTAAGTAAGACTACATTGTTCTGGTAAGTTATATGTGCTAAGTATAAAAAGAGACACAATTTTCCTCAGCTTCCGGAACTGCAGTTGCAGCTTTACCAATCTGTCCACTGACTTTGATCTTTATCTACTCAGGTTTAGCACCCTTTCTCCTGATACTTTATGTATAGAGGTAGGGGGGTGGGCGACAGAGCATCTTTCTCTTCCTCCCCGCCCTTTCTCTTCTCCTATTTATTTCAAGTTTTCTTATCCCCTAGTCATAACTCCGGTCATCTGAAGTGGGCTGTGCCAACGAAAGCTCATGATGCGATCTACATATTTTGTTAGTCTATAAAATGCTACCAGACCATTTGCTTGCTGTTTTTTTAGAAGCAATGCAAAGCAAGCAAGCAGGATGGCTAAAATAAGAAGCTATCAGTCTTTCCTTAAACTGTACATTTAATAGCTAAGTAGTGGATACATTAAATCATATCATTGAACTGTCTCCTGCCATCTTTTTACATGTGAAACCATTATTCAAAAAAAATCTGTCGTATATAGGTGTGTCTACACAGCAGGGCTTAACTTGAAATAAGCTACACAAATTGAGCTATGTCAGTTGCATAGCTTATTTTGAAAGAGCTTATTTCGGAATTGGGGGCATCTACACAGCACTTATTTTGAAATAGAGCACTCTTCCGCTGACTTCCTGTACTCCTCATACAGTGAGAGCTACCAGAGTTGGAGTAAGAAGTCCTCCAGCTTGACTATATTTCAACATTATTTCAAAATAACTGCCTGCTGTGTAAACGCAGACTAATAAGGCTAGTTATTTCTAAATTATGTTGCTGTGTAGATGTACGCTAAAAGATGGATGATAGGATTGTTCTGGGGGAACTCTTGTACTTTTCCATTTTATGTGACTTGCAGCTTCATAAAATTGACTTCTGTTACAATAAAATAGATCTGTTGCTGCAACTATTTTATTATCGTACAAGATTTATCTTTTGAAATCCATCTAATTATAGTCTATATGGAACACTTTGTATAAAAGACAGCCCAAGGCAGTGACCTGCTGTATGGGAAACTGAAAATATAGGAGCCAGCTCAGGTCTATCCTCTGCTAGAATTCAGTATCCTCCATTTTTACTTCTTGATCAGACACTAGATACACACATAACAATTTAGAATTGTAATAGAATGAAGATGATAATTTAAAAATTAGATGGAAATCCTGCTGCTCAATAATATGTTCTTTTCTTTTGCAGCATCTCAGAATTGTAAAACAGTTTGTTCCCTAACAGTTGGGGGGGAAAAGATGCCTAACATGACCACTGAAATGCAGCTTCAGGTGAGTTCGTACCTTTTTCCAAAGTTATGCAAATACGTTTAGACAGATTTTATTTTTACCTGAAGGCAAGTGTTCTTTTAGAGCTGACAGGAAAAAAATGTCATTTTGCTAATATAAATAACATGAATTTTTCTTGACATTTCAGGTTCTACACTCAGCTCTTTTCACATTTGATTTAATAGAAAGTGTTCTGGCCCGAGTAGAAGAACTCATCGAACTGAAAATAAAAACCGTAGCAGATAAGAATATTGGGGGTCAAATGAAGCACTCAATGTCCTAAATCCCAGTGGTTGTTTAACTTTTGCAATACATTAAGACATTGGTCGTCATTAATATGACTACTTGAAAGAGACATTCTCAAGCTTTACACAAGTCTTTTGAAGGATTATTTATAAAGGCTTCTGTTCTTTATGTATTCAGTTACATGTCTTTACTGTAAAATCTGATTAATGGAGATAGACAATCTACTGATTTCAATAAAATACTGCAAGTATCCTTGCATTGAGTTTACTGCAGTTTTGCTAGAATTTGGAAGCCTCATCAGCTTAGCATAATTATAATATTTCATTAATCTCTGAAGATGAGAGGATGTTTTTGGTGTATAGAAATATGGTATATTTGCATTACCTAGAACCCAATGGTATAATGTTTGGAGAGTTTTAGAGCCACAGATATGTAAATACTAGCTATTATTTCTAATATTAGTGCTTACTAATTGGCAATTAATATTGCCAACCATACTACTACAGGCAGTCCCCGAGTTACGCGGATCTGACTTACGTCGGATCCGCAGTTACGAACGGGGCCGTTCCTCTCCCTGGTCTCCAGCAGACCAGGGAGAGGAAGCAAAGCGGCGGAACACGTGGGCAGCGGACAGGGCTGTCCGCTGCCCACGCGCTCCGAGGCTTGGCTCTGCTTTGCCCCCCTCCCCCCCGTCCCCCTGGTCTGCAGACGGGGGGGCCGGGGAGCAAAGCGGCGGAACACGCGGGCAGCGGACAGCCCAGATGCGTCTGGGCTGTCTGCTGGCCGCGTGTTCCGCGGCTTTGCTCTGCTCTGCTCTGCTCTGCTCCCCCTCCCCCCGGTCTGCAGACCAGGGGGATGGGGGGGCAAAGCAGAGCAAAGCCGCGGAGCACGCGGGCAGCGGGACAGCCAAGGCGCGTCTGGGCTGTCCCGCC